AATAAACTTTGATATAAATTTTTCCAGCAGTGGCTTGTTAAATATTCATGATGCTTAATTATATTTTGACTGATTTGAATATATCGTATACCGGATTCGATTGCTCTTGGCGTAAGTGGGCTGCTCACAAATTGAGCAACAGCCGTTATAATAAAAAGTCTGGAGAGTTAAGAGATAGTTTGTGCTATCGCTTGCTTGTTTTTTGGTGTGAGCGTTGAGTGTTTTTTTTGTTAGCGCGACTTGTATGATTATTAATGAATAATGAAGCGGGTACGAGGGAATTATATTGTGTAAGGAAGGCTCAGTGTCGGTTTCGTCACAAGTCGGTTAATCGTGCTGGAAAGATACTATGAAATTCAAGATTTTGTGTTTGCATTTTATGTTTATTTCAGGTATGTTTTTCGATGTTTTTTTTTCTAAATGAAAGGTAGATATAGAATCTGATGAAACTAAAGCGGTCGATCCGTTATACGCATTCCCAAGGCCAAAGCGGACAAATGTCATCAGTCGCGTGCATGTGGACAGTTTTGTGTCATATATGATCTTATCTGAGTAAATGTGAAACGAGAATTATGAAGTTGGTAAGCGAGAGTTTGCACGACAGCGCTTTTCTGGCTCAACTTTCGTGCCCCAGTCGAACGAAAACAAGTGTTGCACTGCAGATAGCATATAGTTGATGAGAGTTGACTAGATATTATCAACTAGAATCGGAGAGTTGATGACGGTTGTGAAGCGAGAGTTTGCATGAGAGTTTTCTCAACTCGCATGCCCCGGTCACTCGAGAACACAAGAGTTGTATGAGAGTTGATGAGAGTTGACTGGATATTACCGCACGCGTAGCGGAAACTCGAGTCTCATCAACTCTCATCAAAATCTGAACCATGACCATTTCAAAATTGACCGGAGAGTGGACTATGTCTAAAACCAGTCTCGCTTGGTTTTAGCGGTCTCATTAACGGCGAAAGCATGCGGTATAATCAGTTAGAGCTCTTCGACATGAGCACAAGGTGTCAAGGTATATAAAAGGCATTTCAAAAGAATATACTCTTGTCTCTTCTCTTTGTTTTAATCGTGCAGTACAGCAACGCCAACGGGCAACGGGAAAACAAAAGCCGACAAATTTGAAAATAACTTCTAAGCTTGTGTATTCAGTACTGAATCCACATTACCTGGGCAGAGTTTTAAAAATTCGTATTTTTGTATTGTTTTAAAAAAAAATTGTATGATAAAAAACTGAGAATTCAATTCAGCAATATTTTACATCGACAAAAATTCCGTCCTCCCCAACATGAGTAATGTTGTCTGATGTTAATATTTGCCGTCAAGTGAGCAAAATTTCCCATTGCATTTGACTTTTAATTATTCATTTTTTAATTTTCCACAGTGATACATGTCTGTGCTAATAACCGTCACCGAGTACCTGTTTAGTGTCGAGAGTACTCTCAAATTGGTGTTTGTATTACATTCGGCGAATATAAATATCGTCTGGTGATGTACGTGACGTTTGCGTGTACTACTTTTAAGGCAGCATTCATTTTACAAAAGAAGCGACAACGAGCAAAGTAATGGGGAGAGGGGGGTGATCAACCAAGGGGTCTGCATGGGGCTGATTCTCGCTCTGAACTGACATTTTGCCGGATTTCAAAGCCTCAGAAAGGCATTTCCGATAGCCCGACTATTCAGTGTTCGTTAAAACAGCCTCCATATTATAACCAATCTTTCGAAGATGCAACTATCTGAGAGATATGAGAAGAATTTCGACGTTTTCGAGCGAAGGCACTTCGACTTCGTCTGCAGTTACTAGCGGGGCTCGGGAATATTACACTGTACTCTATAGCTATTACATGAGCTTTTATACTAAGAATATAATAGCGAGAAATTGAGAATATAACACCAGCCTGACTAAGAAAATATATATTTCAGAGGGCATGCAATGTAAACCGTATAAAAGAAAATTGCGGAAAAAGAACGTCAAAATCTAAAATTCAAATTCATGAAGCTATAGCATAAAATCTTCATCAGTGTTGTTGACAGCTGCTATCAATAATCTTTAGGACCCTAACATTATTGAAAGTATATTTACATAGCAGTGGCTTTGTGGCTGTGGAACAATAAAACCGAATGAATACTGATTCAAAGTGAAAATCATGATATTAATTTGACTCTGAAAATGAAATGGTTCAAGAATTGAGGTTCTTTTACATTACATGTTAAGCATAAAGTTGAAAGTTAAACTTAAAAATCTCAATGCATGTATATCTCAGTCAGATAAATTACATTGATAATATAAAATGCAAAACATATATTCAAGTTTTTCAAGTGCATGACAGTTTATCACCGTGGACAGTTTATCAGAAAGCTTTCCGTAGAGGCGCGAAGAAGCACCTATATCCGATATGGAATGTACAACTTTCATTAGCAACTTAGCGAAACAACATCTCTTCGCCGACTTTTATTAAGTATATATCAAGCCGTAGTGGAAAGACTGTACTATCAATAGGCAAATCAATCTTACTAGACTCGGGTTTAGGACCCGATAAAAGTAATCAGGAAAATCTCGCTTTCTGCATATTTGTTTGGCTGAGCTTTTTAGTATATTGAGTCGCATTTTTCGTTTTGCAAAAAACATAACTATAGACATAGTGATCATGCTAAGTCTCATCAGTAACCGCCCAAAATGATAATAGCATTATTGAATAGAATATAGGCGCCTTGTCAAATTTCATTTAAAAATTGTAAAATATTGTAATATATCTAGTATAGGCATTTTATATATACTAATTACAAATAAATATATTTCACCCTTTGTCGGACACTGGGAAATGTATTATGTCTACAAAATTACTTCTGTAAACGTTTTAGAATTTGATATGTCTCTCTCGTTTTTCAGTCGCGATGTAAAACCAACTTATAAAGTGTGAAATATATAAATGAAGTTCGAACTACGCGCAGTGTGTTCCGAAATTTGAGTCTTAGATTTCGTTTTATCCAAGGTTTTATTTTATCGTCACTGACTCTAATTCGATACATTCAATGTTCTACAGTGCCTGCATAAAAATATTGTCGATATTTTTTTCTACTAATATTTTTATTTTTGGAACTGCGGTGTTTATTCATAGAAGTTTGTTTTCAGTTTCAGAGAAAGTAATTGCTTTCCCGCAGCGACGAACTCCAACAGCGCAAGAGAAATTATACGAAAATGTTTTGAAGAATTACAGCAAGAGTTCAAGGCCAGTTAATGATCCGAATAAAGCTTTAAATTTATCTTTCAATTTTGAACTGACGAAAATTTACGATGTGGTAAGTCAAACTTTTCTCACTCGCGCATGCGGTTAACACAGGCAAACGAGAGGGGGGCCTGTTTTGCCGGACAATTTGCTAGGACTGCCCTCCTCGGCATAATGTATTTTGTTAATGTACGTTGCCATATTGATATCAATGTTTAAGTCAGATGGAAATTTGTTTCATTAGTGAGGAAACTAGTTTTTCTGATTCTGGTCAGTTATGTATAGTACGTTTCAGTATCAATATGTGTTCATAAACATATAACATATTACTTTCGTGTCGAAATTTGAATTTTCAGTAGATTTCTTTGACCAGCATGTGGTACCGATGTAAAAGTTCTATACGACTGTTGCCGACGACTCGCTACGGACTCATGTGAAAAGAGTCAGTCAACGCTCTGCCGAAAGTCGTGGGTTTTCACCGGGTGCTCCGGTTTCCTCCCACAGGGAAAGTTAACAGGGCGGGTTAGGATAAACACAGTTAGGAAACTATAATGCCGTAAGGCCAAAAAAAAATACCTGGTTAGCGTCACCGCCCGCCTCTCGATTTTCTGCCGCCTCTGAATTTTTTTAAATTTTTTTTTATGTAAATCTCTTCGTTTTACAGCTTAAAACAGTTTAATATTTGAAATTTTTCTCATGCTCAGACCTTCGCGCTATATACTGATCGATAGGAGCGCGTAGGCTTGGGTATACAAGGTTCTTAAAGCAAAATGGCGGCCTTCGCAACATCAGTACAAAAAATATCACCGATATGGTGGAAAAACCGCCCCCCATCCCCTCCAAAAATACTATTAAAAAATTAAAAAACGAGTAAAAATTAAAAAAAAATCCGCCCGCCCGCCTCTGAAAATTTGTGAGAGTGTGACGCTAACCAAGTATTTTTTTTTATTTGGCCTAATAAAAAACGATTTTCTGTAAAAATCTTGTTTATGTTTAATGATTAGATTGTAGTTGTTAATATCATAATTCCGAGATCTATATTTTGGCTCGCAAGTACAAAGGAAATCATTGACATCAGTGAAAATCAGTCCTGCTCTGGATTTAAAAAGAAGCATCAAATCGGCAATTTCTCTACGAAATTCAAGTGGAAGAAGTTTGGTTCTGGCAAATCTCTGTGTATACGACATATCCGGAGGATAGTTCAGTATAAATTTAGTGGCCCGCCGCTGGACGTTTTCAATTAAGGAACGATACTTAACTGTATACGGTGACCACAAACTACTGGCGTACTCAAGTTTAGGCCGCACAAGAGCACAGTACAACAATTTCTGACTCTCGGATCAGGGAGTTCTTTACATACCCTTTTAACCAGACCGAGCGTTTTATTAGCCTTGGCCACAATACTTTCAATATGCCTTGACCAGGGGCGTAGGAAGCGGGGGGGGGGGCACGGGGGGCACGTGCCCCCCAAATTTTTTTAGAGGACTGAAAGTGCCCTTTTTTGTGATAAAAAGTGCCCTTTTTGTGTTGAAAAGTGCCCTTTTTTGTGAGGAAAAGTGCCCCTTTTGTAGAAGCTAATGTCGCTGTAAATACTAAATTAAAACAATAGGTGCCGTTTTTGTGTGGAAATTTACAATTTTTTTTTAAAAATTAGGTCACAAACATAAATTTCGGTATGATACGACGGAAAATTTTCCTCAGGAGTAATAGTTAAACATTATATCAACATGTTATAACTCTCAATATAATGTTGAAAATATCAAAATAAAGTTCAAACTCAAAAAAAAAAAATAATAAATAAAACGAAAGTTTAAAGCATATACTTCAAAAATGCAAAATACGTTTCGAACCTCAAAGGATATACATGAAAACTAAACGCAAGTCCTAACTTCCAAATGAAACTCCCAATTGATAAGTAAAAGCCGCGGCTTATAAAAATAAGTCGAAAGTCAAAAATATAAATCGAAAGGAAACGGAAGTAAGCAACTTAAAATACAGAGGAAGTCAGGAAACGGAAGTTAACCTATGAACGTAAATAAGCAATATGTTTCGAAATTGAAGAATTCTTTCGTTTTTTACAAACACTGCTGAGCTCGTCTTTTAACAATAACATTTCCTATGATTCAGCCGAATATCTTTCTCGCCGTCTGGATGTTTACGAGAGAAATATAAATATTCTTCTCACAAGACTTTGTGAATCATATCCCCGGGAACAACAACTTTTGTCAGATATGCGCACCCTTCAAGTGATTGTTCGTCGTCAAAGGGAACGATGCAAAGCACTTTCCTTTCGTCCTTTGTTGGAGGACCACGGTAGTGTTCAGGCAAGTGTGGGAGTAACCATTGGTAAGGACGCATGCCAGGGAGACAAACTGCGACACGCAAGGAGATTTCCTTTTAATTTAATTCTAAAAATCACAAATTTACAAAGATATAACATGCACATTCCGATCATATTTTTACAATAACAAAGATAATATAATAATAAAATATTCGCTGAAATCGACTATAAAGTTAATAAAACAAATAACACTGATGACTGTTAACGGAACTATAAAACTATAAAATAGTACCTGAAGGGTGGATCTCCTCACGCTCGAACTCTCTATACAATCGTTTTACTTGCTCTGTTTATAAAAAGCGTGGCTCATTTTAGCTTTTCTATATCTCGATTTAAATGTCTCGTCTTAAATTACATATAGTGCGTCGATGACATAATCTAGAGGTTGCTAATAATTAACTTAACTCTAATTAAACATATAATGAAATAAAAATGCCAATTGTTCAAAACATACCCTCCGGGGGCGCCACTTACGAATGTGATCTTACTTGGCTTCCAAGAGTATGCAGCATTTCTGGATCGATCTCTTCAGTTCTCCATTCTGTGTCTTGAGACGCAGGTTTCTCACTACACCGTCCTTTCCGGGAGAAACTTCCAGGACTCAACCAAGGTTCCACTTTCCTCTTGGCACATTGTTCTCCTTTTGTGATCTTTTGAGGTTGGTGTTTCACAATTGCTGCCAAGGAGTTTGGGGACTTTTTCTTCTCGGGATCTGCACTTCGAATGTCGGGTTCTGTTGTTCTTTCACATGGCCACTCGGTCTTTGGCTTCGAGAGGAAGGATGGACCGTTAATCCAACGACCTGAACTCAATTCTTCTACCGTAATACCGCGGCTTAAGTCATCAGCTGGATTCTCTTCGGATGGGACGTATCGCCATGAACTTGGACTCCAACTTTCTTGGATCTCGGCCACTCGAACTCCAACGAACGGCTTGAATGAAGTCAATTCCGAACATAACCAACTGAGTACTATGGTAGAATCTGACCAAAATGTGACGCTCGAGGGCTTTAACTTGGATTATTCAACAATGGTGTGAGCGAGTCTAGACGCGATTAGTGCAGCCATCAACTCCAGTCTCGGGATGGTAGTGTGTCGAAGTGGGGCCACTCTTGCTTTCGCAGACACAAAGCTAACATGGAAACCATGGGGGTCGTCCAAACCAAATACGCTACGGCACCATAAGCATCTTTGCTTGCATCAGCGAAGACGTGCAACTCGGAAGGACCAGATACTTCTTTCAGTTGAAGACATCTCGGAAACTCGACTTTCTTGAGACTTTCGATTTCTTTGAACAATTTCTTCCAAGTGTTACGAGCCGGTCCCTACTATTTTGTCTGACCGCTCTGGTTCTATTTACTCGCAAAAAAAGAATGTAAATCTAAGCATTTTACTTTTTGATATATATATTTTATACTAGAAAAAGCATTAGTTATATTAATTAAGTTATATGATAATATGGTTAATTAGGCTATATGTTATAATTAAACTTATCTGTCCGAGTGAGCAATTGCAACTTGATATAGCAACAGTTCAAGTGTATAATTCGTAATATCCACAAGATATCCATGTTGTCTTCTTTCTGCGTTTTATCAGCGCGTTAAAGCAGCTTCGTCTTCAGCCATGGAGTTTTCTTTCTTAATCTTTGATCATTGCTCTATTCTTAATCACAATGCTAATAATGATGTTCACTGATGCGTGAAGCTACTTTTATAGTATTAGTCAGAGGATGACTTTGCCATCTTGACGCATTTCCTATACGCAATATTGTGGTCGTTGGTAGAACGTTCTCTGACCACATTCATGTCCGTTGATGTTATTTGTTGGCAAAGCGTTTTCTTTAATCTTTAGAACTATTTGCTTACTCATGCATGTAAGCTGCAATATGATAAGTATGAGCTATATAGTATAATATAATAATAGCATTTAATAATATTTAATATGTGCAAAATTACATGATGTTGCTCATCATGTAACACAAGTGTCGCTCATAACTTCGGGAAGAGGGTCATCCCAATCAAATTGCTTTGCTTTCCACATATTCTGTAAGGCTATTCTCGCCTTTATCGTTAGTGCAGATGCTAAACCAAGTGGGTGGTAGAGCTTCGAGATATTCGAAAGGACGGATCTCTTTGTCAGTCTTTCGACTTTTACTTCTTTCGAAGCAAACCCGATTACGTCTCTCTTCGGATTCTATATTACACCGAGCGTTTTGTTCTCTTCTTCACCGTCCAAATTCACAATTGGTGTAACAGGGTGTGGATCACTCTCGCTACCATCTTCTTCTTTTGGCTGCTCACTTTCATTTGCCTTCTCGACTGTAGAGGAACATAACCATTCTTTAATTTTGAAGCTTCCAGTTGACAAAACTTTGTTCACTTCTTCAATGCTCTTTATTGCTTCGTCCGTACTTGGACACGAATGAATTAGATCGTCTACGTATCTATCACGCTTCAGGATCGTAGCAGCTCGAGGACATTCTTTCTCGTTTGCTTCTGCCATTTTCAACATGACAAAGCTCGCCATGTCGGGAGAGGGCTTATCTCCGAAAGTGACTCTTTGGAGGGCTATGTCGTTGGCTCTCTTGTCGCATCAAGGTTTCGCCAAAGGAAACGGTGGGCATGGGTATCTTCTTCCGGCAGTATGATCTGAAGGAACATCTTGGATATGTCTCCGTAGAAGCACTCCGAGCAGGTTGCCAATCAGATCAGGACCTTTGAAAAGGAAGGAATTCAAAGACATGCCATGGTAGGGACTCGCTGGGTCAAAGACCACTCGTAACAGGTACTCTTCTTGTCCGGACGATAGACTCCATGATGTGATAGGTAGTAGACTGGTTTCCTATCAACCTTAAAATCTTCTTCACTGAGGGGTATTGCCCAGTTGTTTTCTGCGTATTGCATTAACGCTTGATCATACATTCTCGCTTTTTCTTCATTCTTGCTCAGGCTCTTTTCTAGGGATCGACGTCGTGTTTCTGCTAGCGAACGGTTATCAGGCAGCAAGTTCTTATCTCTTTTTCACGGATGACCGATTACATAACGGTTGTCATCGAGCTTACACGATCGTTCCATAAGCTCCATGGCTCGTTTCTCATCGAGAGAGAAGGCTGACTTAGGACACGGACAATTGACTGCTTGCACTCCCAGTGTTTCAAACTGATAGAACTTCTCCATGTCGATCTTTCGTACAAAGTGAATTGAACAAAGTTCTGGGCTTCTTTTCTCCTCATTCGCTCCTATCACGTACCAACCAAGTTTGGTTTTTTTGGTCACTGGTTGGAATTCTTCTCCATGACGTATCTCTTCTTCCGAGTGAAGGTGGGTATAATGGACTCCAAGTATAAGATCAATTGAACCTGATACATGATTAAATTCAATGTTTTGAAGATGGGGGAAGGAACTGAGCCATTTTCTGTCTAACTCTGGCACGTTGAGAATAGTTTTCTCAATCTCGTGGGCTTCGATCTTGAACTCTTGATCGTCTTTGAGTGCAGAGATCCAAAAGTTCACCCGTCGGCTGTGTGGTTGCTCTAATTTCTCTCCTCCAACTACCGCTAAATCGATCCGTTCTCTTTTCCCATTCAATCCGAGATCTTTCGCAAAATGCTTCCGAATAACCGTCGTTCCAGCGCCAATGTCAATCAACACGTTCCCTTCACGAACTCGACCGTTGGGGGCTCTGAATCTGGCTCTGATTACGGGCATCATGCTAGCTTTATCTAGAATTGAGGCAACTGGTGGTGGACTGGAATATAAGAGGGGATGATGAAAGTAAGGACACGAATCGCTCTTTTCACATTTCTTCTTCGATCGACAATCATGCTTGGAGTGTCTACGATTCAAACACGAGAAACACAGTCTTGCTTTCTTTGCTAGTTCTAGTCTTTCAGGAACTGAGGCTTTCGCTAATACTGGGCATTCAATGACACGGTGCTCTTCTTCGCATACGTAACATTTCATTGGCGATCTGTTTGAATCACGACCGGCAGCATATATGCCTCTTCTCGGTGGAGGATGGTCACTTCTTGGGGTCTCGAATCTCTTTGTAGGTCGCCGAAATCAGGATCAAACTCTGCTTTTACTCTCTTTCTCACATATTCACTAATATGGCTGACTGTAGGTGTCTGACCTTTCTCACGAATGTCCGCCACGAAGACTTTCCACCTTTCAATCATGTGGTCTGGTAAGCGTGTGATGATCTTTCGTAAATTCTCGTTGGCGTTGATATCTGCTGTATATCCAATGCGTTTCATCGTGGCCATGCAATTGATAAGGTCGATCGAGAACTCTCGCAATTTCTTCCTGTCACTTCTACGGATTTTCTCTCCTTTGGTGACGTTGTTCACTAACGCATGGGCAATTACGCTTGGTTGTCCAAACTGTTCTTTGATCATCTTCAAGGCAGTCGCATACATTACTCCTTTCGAACCTAATCCCGAAATTTCTCTTTCCGCATCACCACTGACGTGCATTTTCAGCTGGATCATTCTCATGTCATCGGTGAGGTGGGGTTTGTCATGGATATGTATCTTAAAACGATCGATAAAATCCGCGTAATCCAATGGATTTCCAGAGAATTTGGTCAAAGTAACGTTTGGTATATCCCGGCTTGCTTGCTGCAATCGACATTTGGGATCCATCAACTGGTAATGTTACTTTAGTTTCTTATCTATCCAGGAGTCAAAAGTAATTGGATCATTTTTTGTTTCTACGGTACTGTTCACATTGCTTGTAGGCGACGGAATCTCTTGAATTTCTTCTTGCTGTAATGTAGAGGTATTAGCTTCCGGTGTTGGCACTTGCGATAACGTTTGAGGTTCTTCCGAAAGTTGATTTACTGACGCGCTCTGCGGGCAAGTTGCCTTGTTTTCTCCAGATGCTTGGCCATTTGATTTCGAAATACCTCGAATATATTCTTCGACTCTTTCTTCGATCCCATACACATCACTCGTTAAGTTAAGTCGTCTTCCCATTTGTCTAATATACTAACATCTACGTCGGGTAAATCGTAAAACTGGCTGTGTAACTCACGTGCAACTTCAAAGTCCTTTCGTAATTGCTCAATTTCTTTCTCAAAACGCCGTATATTTCGATCTTCTTTCGAAACTCCTTCGCTTAGACGCTTTATACTGCGAGTAATCTTCCCTCGAACTTGTTTTTCAACGTAGTTTCGCTTGAACTATTGTCTATTGTCGAAGCTTCGCTTGATTCTCCCTCGGGCATTGTGCTTACCAAATATATAAACACTCGATTATCTGTTCCTTTATTTGCCTACTAAATCGGCACTAAACTGTTTTATTCCTTCAGAAGTTGGTAAGGACGCATGCCAGGGAGACAAACTGCGACACGCAAGGAAATTTCCTTTTAATTTAATTTTAAAAATCACAAATTTACAAAGATATAACATGCACATTCCGATCATATTTTTACAATAACAAAGATAATATAATAATAAAATATTCGCTGAAATCGACTATAAAGTTAATAAAACAAATAACACTAATGACTGTTCACGGAACTATAAAACTATAAAATAGTACCTGAAGGGTGGATCCCCTCACGCTCGAACTCTCTATACAATCGTTTTACTTGCTCTGTTTAAAAGCGTGGCTCATTTTAGCTTTTCTATATCTCGACTTAAATGTCTCGTCTTAAATTACATATTGTGCGTCGATGACATAATCTAGAGCTTGCTAATAATTAACTTAATGGAACTTTAATTAAACATATAATGAAATAAAAATGTCAATTTTTCAAAACAACCATTTCTGGTGTGGGAAGACCATGAAGACTGGATGTCTCACAACAGGCGATCAAAGCTCTCAATTCTTCAGTTGGGCTTTCCTGGGCAGAAATTGCAAGAAATTTTGGAGTGTCTGAGAGTACCATAGGACGACGTCGACGTTCATTTGTCTCGGCTAATACGAACAGGGAATCACATTCTACCATAAGGGACAATGAACTTGATATACTTGTTCGTGGCATCTTACAAGTAACACCCAGGATTGGCTATACTCTATAGATTAGTACAAGGTGCCTTACGAAGACGTGGATTGCGCATCCAAAGACGCTGGGTGGTAGAGAGTCTCCAACGGGTTGACCCGGTCACAGTTACCATGAGAGCGTCAAGAAGCATTGTCAGAAGACATTACTCTGTACCATGCCCAAATGCATTGTGGGTAGGTATCATGACCAAAATGGCTCCTTGTTTTTCAATATTTAGTTCCTTTCAATATGATGGACCTTTGCTACATAAATTACATATGAGCAGATATCTCTTTACCCTAACTCCATAGGCTCTTTGTGAGGCGAGAACGGAAAGCCTCTGGTCACATCGATTTTAAATATGATGTAATGTTGTTTGCAGTGCACATTATGAAAACTGAATTATCTCATTAAGAAGTTACATTACAGTTTTCGGAGTTCTTTCAAATACATCAACAAAACATTTTGCATCATATACATGGCTTTACCCATTAAGCTGCAGAGTCTCCCCACTGACGAGTAAAATCGTCTGGTGTTAGACAAGTAAAATTAAGTAATCCATGGTGGCATAGATGGGTATTCAAGATTAGTGGTTTTCTTACATGCCTCTACCAACAACCAAGCCTCCACAGTTCTAGAATGCTTTAGAGGAGTTGTCAACCAGTGTAATCTTCCATCACGTGTCAGAACAGATTTGGGATTGGAAAACATAGAGGTGGGGCGTTTCATGTTACAATCTAGGGGGATAAACCGAGGCAGTATAATTACCGGCACTTCAGTCCACGATCAACGAATTGAACGTCTTTGGCGTGAAGTGAATGGCATTGTGTCCAGTCGTTTCGTGAATATTTTTGTGTATCTTGAATCTTTTGTTCTTGATACAACAAGTGAACTTCATTTATTTGTTTTACACCTTGTTTATTTACCCCTCGTAAACCAAGCTCTGCGGGAATTAAGGGAATCATGGAACAATCACTCGTTAAGTACAGAAGTAACAGAACGCAACCTTAGCCCCATGCAGCTTTGGGTTCAAGGTATGATTAGCAGTAGAAACTCTCATTACAGTGCTGTAAGAAGTGTGCAAGATGATCTGCAAGTTAATTGGAATGATTATGGGATTGATGAAGATGAACCTGCAGCAAATGTAGAACCAAACTATAACATCACAGTTCCTTCCAGAAACAAGAATGAACTTACAGGATGAACATTTTCAACACATTCAAGAACTGGTCGGAGTTATAAATGCAGCAGGATACCAAGATGGTGTTATATGCTTTCTGGTAGTGTTACACACTCTGGAACAATTACGTTATCAAACTGAAAGTTAAACGTTTTTTTACTATTAAATAATATACACTGGCGAAGCTAGCTACGATATTTGGTCCTAAATATTTGGTTCAGGATATTTGGTCATTGAATGAATATGCATATTGAAACACAATAGATTTCTAAAGATGTGGGTTGTGTTAATATGATGGAAATTTCCATGGCAGGGGTAAATATCTTGGCTAGGTTCGCTATATAGTGATAGTATACTGTAGTTATGTATAAAATCTCTGTTGAACGAAATATCAAAGATGTCCATACACTAAATTAGATGAACGGTTCTTGGTTCTTGATGGCAATGTCCATGTTTCTTTCAAATTTTTCATACGTATCCACTCCACTTGGCAACTCTAGTTCCATGGGACACGTGTTGGCATTTGGAAAAACAGACGAGTTTTGAGGGATGGTTTGTAAAAACCCATGGCAACCACAATCCACTCCACTTGGCAACTCTAGTTCCATGGGACACGTGTTGGCATTTGGAAAAACAGACGAGTTTTGAGGGGGGTTTGTAAAAACCCATGGGTGGTATGCAATTTGTTCCAGTAGTAAACATCAATACACCAGGAACTCTGGACTCTATGAATAGGCATAAAAATAATAAAGATGACAATAAAGGATTAGTGTCAGGGTCATGCATTGCGGGCTTTTGTTATTGTTTACATTTTACTCAAATACAACAAATAGCGATAAAAATACCTTGTTTGGTAAATTTCTGATAAAAATAAAACAAAAAGAGCAAGGATTATAAAAGGATGGTTTAAATATATGACGGATTGTAAAAACTTTCCAGATCATCTAATCTATTCATCCCGAAAAATGGCCACCAGCAGGAGTTTGAACCCGCGAATTCCCGGTGTGACACTAATCCTTTAATAAATAACGAAATAATCTGTATAAAAATATAATAATAAAATAACAGGCTATTTGATACAACTAGCACAGAAAACGTTATTAAAAAACATTCAGATAAAATAAAGACTAATTTTTGACCTGGTCATTTTATTCTATTGCATTATTGTTTTACTCAATACATGACAAATAGTATATTTCATTGACATTGAATTCCAGTTTTAGTTGCTGCGTGAGTATTGTTAGGGTGCTGAATACTATATACTGGTAATAGAGAAATATAACTGTCACACACCAACACTACTGAAATAATTTTTAAAATCTAAATTGCACGGGTTACTTGCTTCACGAACATAACGAGTAAAATACTCTTTCATTCTTTCGTCAACATCATCATAGTCAACAATTGAGAAAAGGTCTTCAGATAAAGGTGGTTTACAAGCCCCAGCGACAAAAAGTGGTTCAAACTTTTCTGGGTGATTTTTAATTCTCTGCAAAAGCGGACCCAGACCTTCCATAAACTGGTCTACCTCAGCTTTTCTGGAAAGAATCACTGCATGAAGAACCAGAGATGTCACGGCTTGAAACCGATTCTCCAAGCTAATGGAATTATTGGAAAATTTGGAAATCCCGGTCCACCTTGTATGATTGATGATGCAACCATGCGCCCAGCAACTTTATACAAATTTGAACGAAGGGCATCTGTGTTATGCATGGGTAAGAATATATTATCTCTTCCTTCGAATAAACGAATGGAAGCGGATGATGACAAAAGCTCCCTTAAGAGAATAGTAAAAATTCTCTTTTCGGCCCCCCTCCATCAATGGCAGGTTCCCCTTCAAAGGTGATTTTAAGAGGCTTAGTGAAATCAAATTTTTACTTAAAAATCGAGATGCTGTCTGTAAGAATGGATGATCGGTTCACTGTCAGTCGCGTTGGTGCACCAGGAAGAGGTCTTAATTTTTCCAAGATATCCTTAAGAGTAGTTTTTCCTCATCTTCAATTCATTTGAACGTGTTTCGTCTGTAAAAAATGTTTCACTGCATGAATCTATTGTAAATGTGAGGTTATTACTGGTTTTCATTCAGGGAAATTTTCTTCGGAAAGAAAATCTTTCATTCAGGGCCCAGAAGAAGCCGCTTATTCTTGACTTATGTTTGTTTGTTTGTTAGCATTATTTTGGATGGAATATGCGTTGGCTAATCAATAAATTCCATAGCAGGCACTAGTCATATCTTAATTATAGCCACTAGTTATATCTTGAACAAAATTTTTTTCAGCAACTAGAGAAATACAGTCAACTACACAGCGAAAGTGTGCAGGTATTTCCGTTTTGACTGTAAGTGAATTTAGGCGTTTCAGCACCCGTTACAGTTTTCACAGGGGTATACGTCTTGGTTAAAAAGCGTGAGCTTTTTTTCATCGGCAGGTAGTTCAACTATGCTAATTTGCCGGTGATTTTAGCCCCAACCAAGTCCAGTGGCGGCGCCAGGGGGGGGGGCAAGGGGGGCAAATGCCCCCCCAATTAGTTTTTGCCCCCCCCCCATTTTGCCCCCCCCCTCAAAAAAATTATTAGTTACTAAGAGCGACTAAAGGCTACACAAGCGTTCTGTCGTTCGGAAAATGTATGGCTTATAAGTTGTCATTACTCATTAGTGAATGCGCGTATACATGAAACTGTTTTTTACAGTTTCAATATTAGTTTGTAAATCTCTGAATGGTAAAACTTGCCAATACTAATAATACGTTTCAAAAAAAGATAAAAAAGCTTTAGTTTTGCAGAGTTAAATTCTCAAACGTCTAAGGCAATAATAAGATGAAAGTATCACGAAATTATTTGAATAAACCACATCGCATATATGGGGGGCGAATGTCTTAAAGAGGGGCGATATTCCTAGGGAATTCTCCCCACCCCCCTGGGAGGCGATATTCCTAGGATATTCGCCCCCGGGGGCGATATTCCTAGGAATATCGCCACGTTTTGAGGGGGGGGGGGCGAATTTCCTGGGGGGCGACCTTTTTAAAAATTCTATCTTGCCCCCCAAAATTTGAGTTTGCCCCTCAAATGCCCCCCCAAATTTGGAAGCCTGGCCCCGCCACTGACCAAGTCATACAAACGGACCAAAACCAATTATGGAGCAATTCTAGTCTAGATTCTTCTATACGGTGCCAAAAAGCCCAGGAAATGGCATTTCAAGAAAAGGCCCAATTTTCCCTTTTTTCCTTTTAAATATCTTTTACGCTACTGCTGTTACAGTTGGATCTTGTTTTGCCTGCTTGCCGTGTTGCATGAGTAGCTGTGATCGACAGTACCCAGCTTAGGTGAAAATTAGTCCCCCCCCCTCCCCCCTAGAAAATAAAACTCGTTCCGCCGCCACTGATGGTATCTGCAATACAGTCTATTTATTACACATAATGGAGAACACTGAAATAGGGCAGCTCAATTTAAGCCGTTGTTTCGTTGTTTTCTTCATTACTACGTGAATGAAAGTTCTTTGTCAACCCTTACATGTGAGCTGATAGTCAGCATAAGTGCTGCTAATAGAGACATCCCAAACGCGGTGTAAAATACGTAACGAAAGTTATTAGTTTGATCAAAAATCCAACCTAAAATAAACAATATAATATTAAGTAAATTATATACAAATTAATTGGAAAACACATTAAAAACCGACATGCAGGTTAATTGGTAAAGCGTGGTGACCTGTTGTGTAAAACTGATTGTGGCTAAAATATTAATTGCCTACATGGTTTTTCAGGCTGCGTTTACACTATAACGCTAGTATTTCGTTCAAAATTCACTACGTTTCTTAGTATTGTGTGTGTGATACTCGATATTTCTGTATATAAATCTCGATTGACCAGCAGTCTAGCATCCGAGTAGCATGGTGTTTGACCTCCACACCCAGCCATAAAATTAGTTTGTCCCCCAATCTATCCGTCAATTGAATTTCCAATTGAAACATCGAATTTATACTCGATTTTATCACGAAACTCAAGTAAATCATGCAGATATATGTAATTTGACTGTACCTGATGCTGGAATAGCAAAAAGTGAAGAAAGCGCACCAATAAGATTTAATAACGAAAATACTTCGTCAAAATAATATCCTCCGGTAATCTCCATAACCAAGATAGAATATGTAACCCACCACACGCCCTCGACTATTCCAAATTTCCAATTAAAGCCATATACACGAGTAACAAAGGAAAAGCACGAAGAAAAGAACACACGAAATTCAATATACCAAACAATGCAAATGTTATTTGCATAACCATTTTCACCTTGCCATGTTTTAGAGCAAAATCAAACAAATTTCACACTTACATATTTCACATAAAAACGATTGGAATATAACAAGTAAAAATACATTGCTATTGCAACCAAAGAGATAGTAAAAGTTTTGTCTTGTAAGAACTCCTTGTAGAGATTAATAACAGATTTCCCGCTTCTTTCAGTTGATTCTGTGTCTTGGTGCACATGATGACGACCAACAAAACCATAGCATAAAATTATCGGGGCAAAGACCAACAAAGACACAAATGTCATCTTATATCCAAGTGCAGTCAAAACAATTGGTAAAATGAAAGACACCACCACTGCCCCTATGGAGTTGGCACTATAACGCACACCAACAGCAAAACCAAAATATTTACTAAAATATTCTCGCTGAGTTATAACTGATAATCAATGTAGCGACAAGGCTCAGCGAAGACCCAAATGGAATCGAATAAGTTAAAAAGACAATGCCGTTTATGTTGGTCATAAATGGTGTGACACATAACAAGAAACCATACAGTACGCTCGAGATGAACATACACCAGCGAAATCCAACACGTCTGTGAATATAAACCACTATAGGGGACAACGCTCGTCCTAGGAAGAAAACCATCGAGCCTATCCAACCTAGAAAGAGTAATCGGATCATGTGTCTCGTATTATCCTGGTTTATGGCTAGTTACATGGGTTAAATGATATTACCGTATTTCCCCCATGTAGCCCGCGGAGTTTATATATTTTCCCGTGATTCTGGACTGGAGGCTTATAAGAAAGGGGCGGTGGGCTAAACAGAGGATCGGGGATGAATAAAGTTTGCTCTTGTAAAAAATATTAAGTTACAAACCCATCATTAGAGGAACATTTTGCGGAGATTTTCATACAATTTACCATTATTTAGCCGTATCAGTGAACGTTATATACACAACATTATCAGTGGACGTTATAAAGATCGTTTGTGTTCATGTTTTGCAATAAGTTTACATCGAGAATGATTTAATTAATGCCGGATGGGGGCTAAATAGAGTGGGGGCTTATTTTGTTTCAGCGCTTGGAGACTGGAGGCTAATTTAGACGCCGAGCCCGTTGCTTAACAGGACTGAACAATGTTTTGCTGCCACGTTGTTCACACTTGTCAACAATATTGAACAATATTGCCTGAATCAGGTGTAACAATATTGTTCAATATTGTTGACAACTGTGAACAATGTGGGCAGCAAAGCATTGTTCAATCCTGTTTTCATCAATATTGCAACAACCTGAGCGTTTTTACGCGTGTAGATTATTTTATTTTTACAACAATTGTGATATTACTTTCTTAACTGTGTTTATCCTAACCCAACCTGTCAACTTTCCCTGTGGGAGGAAACCGGAGCACCTGGAGAAAACCCACGACTTTCGGCAGAGCGTTGACGGATGATGTTTTTCAGTTCGTGTGGATCCACCGCAAACAGGGGCCGTATCCGGGAAGTTGCCCTAGCAACCGTGCTGCACGATCTTCCCGCCGACCTACAGTAGAAGCAATCAACAGGAAATCACTTGTATTAATTGTGATGTCTGGGTCACTTTGCTGCCCAGTGCCACTCACAACTGAATAACGCCAGTGCTGGGGGGGGGGGTCAATTTGTGCCAAAACGATCTTGGTCACAGCGTAGATCTAGCTTGCATGTTCTTGGGAAATACATGGTTAATTGTTGGACACTGGGTCGGATGTAACATGCATCAGCTCTACACTGCCCGACGCAAAAACGCATATAAATTGTTTGTCCCCATTCCTAGGACAGATTTAGCATCGTTGCAAAGACCATAAACGTCTACGAAATATTTGTCAAAATCAAAATATTTGAAGCGAAAATGAGATGAAGTTTGAAGCAAAATGGGTGAAGCGAAAACGAGACCAGAATATGGACAACCATTTTGCGTGAAGTCACATGACATTTGAGTAGGAAGAACGCATAGAAATGTTTTGGTCCCCAGAACATATTTAGTAGTGTTAGAAAGAGCATGCAATTCTGTACAATCCGATGTAAAAATAAAAAAATTGTTATATAGTTAGTGTCAAAGTTCAATTTTTCTGTTTGCCGATTGGTTAAAACCGTGTCACGTGCCGGTCCACAAAACGTCATGTTCGGCAACCGGTCCGCAATGAAACATTTATTGACCGGTCAATAATAAAATGGGTGCAATACGCATGCGTGTCAACCATGAAGTTCCAAAGTTCATTTTTAAAACTTTTTACTAAACATTTACGGAGTTCCATTTATCCAGTTTTGGTTTTGGTTTTGGTTTTTGTTTTTTTTTGTTTTTGGTTTTGGTTTCAGTTTTTTTGTTTTTTTTTGTTTTTGGTTTTTTTGTTTTTTTTTCAAATTAAGTTCACTCCAATAACCGATGAATTATTCATACTTTGACACTTATACACTATATAACAAAACACTTATTTACTGAATCCTCGGGAAAGCAGTGTGTTTTGTGGTCCCTCGACACACAGGTCTCGGTTCCACAAAACACACTGTTTCCCTCGGTCTCAGTAAATAAATGATAATTGTATAGAAATTGTAAGATAAAGCGAGACCTGAGTGTGGTCACGCATTTTGTATGTGTTGCACTTACATATAAAGGGCGAAAACGCATAAAAATCATTTGGTCCCCATGACAAATTATATCTCGTTCGTTTGAAGGGGCATTATCTCAGGACAAGATAAGGGACCGGTCAATATTTATGGCGGGGGGTGGCACCGAAGAGAAAAGGGTTGGGTAAACAAAATTTTGAGTGAGTAAAAGGTTGGGTAAATGAAAAACAAAACAACTCAGGGGTTGGGTAATAAAAAATTATTGTCATTTCCAAAGCATGATTCACTGAAATATTGGAGACTAAAAAGCCTGAACAGTAGTCAGTCATATGTCAATACAATACCGTATGTGAATCAATCAGAGTGACTATCTCTTGATCATTTTCCGATTTGTTGGGAGACAAATGGTACCTCCAAAGAAAGTACATGTGCAGACAACATGAAACTTTAAACTGCAGAAAATTTTACAATCCGTTATCAAACTCATGTGACAGAACGTCACACTATTGTAAAGTTTTTGGCCAGGGGTGGGTATTTATTTTTAAATTGATATTTGAGGTTGGGTAATCAAATTTTTGACTTTTTAATGGTTGGGTCAGCAAACTTTTTGCCACGAAAAACATTTCTCTTCGGTGCCACCCCCCACCATAAATAATGACCGGTCCCTAAGTGACAATTAAACTTTGGTATGGAATATGAAATGATAAAATTAGAGCTGTTATGCACTATGTGCTTCTTCTTAACAATACCCAGTCAGGGGGGGGGGTTGACGAATGTCGTGATGTTAATATGCCAAGTCAGACTTAGGTTATGACTAGCTAAATGGCCGTATTTATATCAGAAGACGTCTTAAACGTCTGGACAAATTAAACGTCTTGTGTTAAGTGCGACTAATATAAATACGAGATGAACAGTTGGAAACTAGTATAGAATGAAACCAAGAAAATAACAGTCTTTATTCATACTCAAGAACACCCGTCTGTGAGTTTACATTATAAAAATATATAAGATAAAATTATTGATATCTATAAGGTAATAACTAGATATATACAGTTATGGATAAAAATATTAATAATGTTAAAAAGGTAAAGGTTAAAATTGGTTAAACAAAGTTAAACAAACATCGATTTACAAAAGAACTTTTAAATCGCTCTGTTCTCACTAATGGAAGTTCAAACTCGTGTCCCCTTGGCCTAAGGTGTCTATTTAATTTATCTGGTAAAAGCTCCTGTAGTGCATTATCTTTATTATGTATTACTTTATCCCAAAGTTTCTTGTCCCTTTTGATGCTTATCTCCTTAATATTCAATTTTTCCGATATGTAACCATTTCTGTGAGCGCGATTGATGAATTTGTCTATTTGGCTAATGTATTTATTGAAGTATGCGCCTCCCCAAAGTTCTATGCCGTAAGTGATTATAGGCATAATTAAAGTGTTAAACAGCATGTCCAGTTGTTTGATTGGGAAGCCATAGTATTTACAGACACGCATTATGTACATTCTTGCACTGGCTTTTTTCAACATTTCATCAAAATGCAAATCCCACTTGGAAGGGAGATCCTGTAATGTAATTCCTAAAATCTTTAACCACGTCCTTCGTTTAATAAATGGAAAAGGATCAGGCAACAGCGTAGGGATATTTCTCCTAACAATCATTTCATACGTCTTTTCCATATTTAAGGACATTCGATTATTTTCAGACCATGTTTGTATACTGTCCACTTCGGCTTGGGATGTATCTCCGTTTTCATTCCCTGGTACTTCTAATGTCATGTCATCCGCGAACTTAACTAACTGGTTTATGGGGTTAACTGTTTTGATGTCATTCACCATGTTTTGAATTTGACAACCATCCAGGTGATCTCGGAACTAGGAAAAGGCCTGGCACTAGTTGTAAAATAGAAATTCATTTCTGGTTTAAAATTACTCAACATCTCATTAACGGTATTAGATTTCTACCTCATATTTGTCCCAGATATCCATTTCCCTGTGCACGACACAGACACAAAGTTTCAAACAGTTTCACAAAAGAATCAGGGCATGACAAGTGATTAAAGGTACGAAAATGGTTTCTATTCTGTTGCTAGTCCCAGTCCTTTTGCTCACCGTCAGATCACCTGGATCTGTAGTTTTAAACTAAACGTCTAAGACGATTAAGACGTCTGTTTAAGTGCGTCGTTTGGACGCAGTTAACGGACGACGTTAATTTTTTATTCGTCTGTCTAATTTTCCGTATTTATATGAGACGACTTTAACGTCTCAGACGGTTAAGTCGTCTCAGACGTTAAAGGCGTCTTCTAATATAAATACAGCCATTGTTAAAAGTTTTTAAAAATTACAAAAATGTCGACATTATTATTACCATAGTCCTAGGAGAAACTGACAGTGTAGAACTTAAGTATTTGATGCATCATTATTAAACAAACACAATTAAATATTAAATACTTAATTATTAATTTCTAATTCTAATTGGAATTTCAAACAGATAATTGCTTCATCGCTAGGTTATAATTTGTTTCTGTTTGTTCTATATTAATTTAATTCGATATCCAAAAGTAGATCAGTTTGAATTGATGATTTGGTTTGAATGTTAAATAATATGGGCGAAAGAACAAGGGGCTTTGAAGAATCTTTACTACCTAAACTGTCTAAATTTCTTGATACCTTTAGTAGTTTTAATATTGCTTCAAATATCAAAATTGAAGAATTTTCCACATGCTATACCTATTTTTAAGTTCAATAAAAGAAACTCTTTAGATAAAACTCTTTTAGATTCGAGAATATTTTCTACATTTAGGAGAAACTTTTTTAGCAATCTTTGAACTTTCCTCATATAATTTTTAAATATTTATCATAGTTATGTATATATGCATGCTTCCTTGTAAATTTGTTTATTTAGTTCAGGACCTTTCTGAACATCACTTTGTGAGAAAGCTTCCTGAAAATAAATATTAATTTAAAAAAACCTTTTAAATGATGGGAAATAGTGAGCTCACCACATGTGGTCATAATAATCTGTGCAGTTAATCCACAGGGGGTCCAACTAAGAGCTGTGTTATGAATATGAATAAAACATTAATTAAACGTAATTGCACTTACTTGTATAAATCATAAGAGCTTGTATTTGCAGTGAATAGCTTCAAACAGGGCGCTTATGTATGCACAGAAACATTGCTTCGAACGATTGTTCAAATATGGCGAATAAATTGACAAAACGAAAATATTACATGACGTTCCAAAGAAAATAACAGCAAGGATTGCGGGCGCGCGAGCGAAAAGGCGAGGGAAGAAATAAATAAAAGGGATGAAACAAATATCACGTGACTTTTTAAAATGCTTCTAGACTATCCGTTTAAGCTTTTTGTGTTATTTTTAGGGCTCAGTCGATGTTCTCTTACATGAGCAAGCCTAGTAATTACCAAAAAAGCAATGATCAATGTAATTTATGTGATTTATAACCGCGGACATTCTTAGCCGTTTTCGCGAGATGTGTTCCATAAGTAGCCTGTTCTCGTGACGTATGACTAAATAATAATAAAACTAAATAATGTAAAAAAAAACGTTGGTCGCTACATTTAAATATTTCATATTAGCCGGTATAGCTAAACATTGTTTATTTTCATTAATTATTAAGCGCGTAGGCGTTGTTGGAGTTGGCAGGAGGCGTTTTGGAATTTTCCGAGAGAACAGGCTACTTATGGAACACATCACACGATCGCATTACCGGTGTTTCATCCCTTCTATTAATATCTATTACCCTCGCCTTCCGCTCGCGCCCGCAATCCCTGCTGTTATTTTCGTTGGAACGTCATGTAATATTTTCGTTTTGTCAATTTATTCGCCATATTTGAACAATCGTTCGAAGCAATGTTTCTGAGCATATATACAGTAAGCGCCCTGTTTGAGCTATTCAGTGCAAAGGCAAGCTCTTATGATTTATACAAGTAAGTGCAATAATTTAAATAGATTACGTTATAATGTTTTATTCATATTACGTTTAATTAATGTTTTATTCATATTCATAACACAGCTCTTAGTTGGACCCCCTGTGGTTAATCTCGTGAAGAATGTTGTTACGAATGTTGTGATGAATGTCGTCACAGCTCCCCAATGGTGCTTTAATCGAGAGTCGCATAGTGTGAAATAGTGCTTTAAACCCGTCGCTCGAACATCGCTCAAATTGCCTCTGTCGCACCTAATCCATTCTGTCAAACTTAATCTTAATCAAACGTCGCTCTTGTGTAGTAGCTATTTAGGTTCGGCTCATCAGTCATGAGAAGAGCGACTTTTCAACCAGGTCTCAAATCCTCAGTACTCAGTAGCGGTTAAAATACGGCAACAAAAGTTACATTTCGGCGATTTCGCTACTTTTATGTGGTTACAACTTAAAAGAGTATCAACAGAGTACAACAGTAGAAGTGTGCAGAAGATTTTAGTGTTTTGTCTGTAAGGGGCAAAACATACAGAAGCTGCAGTTTAGTTATAAAAATTTACGCACCAACGATGGCAACGGAATTGAAGTGAACGACAACCGGCCACAGCCAGGTATTTACAGCCTAATTTGGATAAATAAGTTGCTGATATTCCTCAAATATGACGATAATAACAACTTACGAAAGACTTACAATACGTCACTTACCATATCAACATGATGATTTTCAGTTGGTAAAGGCTCAACGCGAGAATATAAACTCGTCCCTTATTTATATTTTGCTTTATGGCTTTATCCAATTTACAAGAATTATCACTCACAGATATTCGATTCCCTTGCAATGCACCCTGTTACAACCTCGCAAGCCAGGGTAATTTCAGCCCACCCGCTGCGAAAGACGCTGGCTTGCGAGGTTGACACTAGGGGAGCTTCCCAGAATGCCGGCTGGTAATCGAGCCTACAATCGCGTGCAGTTTATTGGCCCCTTCCCTCCTGTAACAATGGTTCTTGCCCCCCTCCCCCTTGTGCAATGTTGATTTTGAGGCCAGGGCTTATCAATAATATGTTTTCAACATTGTTAATGGGGGGAGGGGGGACCGCACGTGAAAAAGATCACCAAAATGTGAAGAAAGAGTCTCATTATTTTTGCACGCGATTGTAGGTTGACACAAATTGACACTATTATTGCTGCCCAATCTCGTCCCCAGGGTCTTCTTAACCTTAATCTTCTTAACCTTCTTAACGATCAGGCCTATAAATAATTAGAGTCTTCTTCGTGGACGAGGTTGATTGCTGCCTCGTCCCCAGGCGATATAAAAAGATTTCACATGCGAGTCACTATATCAAAGGTTTACATGAAGCAGTGCGTCATGATACGCGCGCAAAGGGGGATGGGATATGAGGTTAGCCTCAACCCCATAAACTCTAACCCACGTTCTTCCCTCGGTGGGCCTGCACGCGGGCTACATAAACCCTTACGCTAATTGTTTGTCGCGATGCACTACTTCATTACATGAAAAAAACCTTTGATATAGTGACTGGTATGTGAAACCAGACACAGTACTAAAATGCGGTGCCCGCCTACAAATAAAACTTTCGGCGTTTCCGCCTCATGCACATGCAAGTAAAGTTATATTTAGCACGCTACATTCTCCTGTCGGCCGCCAGTTGGTCCTTACGTTAGGATCAAAACTGCGTTTTAAAGCCTTCAAAATAAAATATTTTGGGCTCAAAATACTATCAAAATGAGGAGAAATCCACTGGCATACAATTCCCTACCTCCTCCGCAGGCCATACAGCCCGTAATGAGTATGCCCGTTCGCAGGTAGCCTGCGTAGCAGGCTAGTTCGCAGGTTGAAATTTGAGACGAAGGCTTGTGTACAATTTTATATTTTTGAAAGGCCTGCGGAGGAGGTCGGAACCATTCCGGAGTTATCAAGGATTTTTAATTAGTTTAATCATTTTGAGCGAGTTGTCAACAATACAATTTCGCTTATTAAAACTACACATTAAAACCTTCAAAATACGGAAAATAAAACCTTCATTACGGAAACTTGGCTTTCTCGTAATGTCAGCAATTCAGCGATAAATCTAAATGGCTTCTCTATATTCAGGCGTGACCGACGTGATGGTAGAAGAGGTGGAGGTGTTGGTGTCTATGTAAACGATCGTATGCCAGTGGTTCATCTTAAGGAACTTTCACATCCCGAAGTTGAAGCGTTATGGCTCCTAATAAAACCAAGTCGACTACCACGAGGAATTAATTCTATTAATTTTATCATCTTAGCTGCAATTTACCATCCACCGAAAAGCGACGATATGGTCTTGTTAACATACCTTATTGAGTCCCTCGACAGTGCATTAACATCCTATCCTGGGTCAGCTATCCTAAATGGTTAAATGTGTCTAAATTGGTTAAAATCGCCGTCTACAGTCAACTATGTAACTCGTTTTCCCTTAAACAGGTTGTTAAGCATGCAACAAGAGGATCCAACATCTTAGATAAAATATTTACAAACGCGTCCAAATTTTATAACGTTCCTGAGATTCTCCCACCTGTCGGTTTCTCTGACAATAACTCAGTGTTGATAAAACCGCTGAAGCAATGTATGAACTCCCGGAGTACCCGAATGGTCAGAGACACGCGATCCTCTAATCGGAAGTTAGTCTTCGAGGCTTTGTCTAGTATAAATTGGTCTCCCCTGTATAGTATGGACTCTTGCAACGATAAGTTCCATAACTTTTCATTCATTGTTAACGGCATTGTCGACCAGTACCTTCCAATGAAACGTATAAAATCGGATAGTAGTGATAAGCCCTGGGTAACATCTGAGATCAAAAGATTAATCTCCAAACGTCAAGCAGCTTGGAATAGCGGAAACAATATCATGTTTCGTCTCTACAGAAACAAAGTAAATACGCTTTGCAAGAGAGCTCCTTCAAGATTTTACAACAGTAATGTCGCTGATTGCTTTGAATCAAATCCGCATAAGTGGTGGTCCAACATAAAAAACAGCTGGCCTTGGTGCAACGAAAAACGTTTCCACTATCTTATACAACGGTCAATCCTACTCAGGCTCCGCCCTAGCTAACTTGTTTAACGACAAGTTTGTTGCTGTAGGAAGCACCCTTCCTCCATTCTCATGGACACCCATCGCAGTTGATGACGTTCCTTTAGATTTCTATATCTCCATTGATGAAGTTGAGAAAGCACTAACATGAGTTTTCTCCTTGGCTCCTCCGTGAGAACTCTGCCTCCCTATCTCGCCCATTGGCATCCATTTTCAATGCTTCTATTCAAGAAGGAAACATCCCGTTGTTGTGGAAATCCGCCAATGTGTCTCCTGTGCCAAAATCGTCACCTGCCCTGGACATTGATTCCGATTTTAGACCGATCTCTCTTACGCCAATTGTAAGCAAGATCTTAGAGTCATTCCCTTACGGTCAGTTAGCGGTCAAATTGATAACCTCCAATTTGGTGCGCTTAAAAGATCAAGTTCCACAATGGCATTATTATATATGTTCCATAAACGGTACGAAGCTATGGACACACCCGGCACCTGTCTTCGAATCTGTACGTTGGACTTCTCAAAAGCATTTGACCGGATTGACTTCAACATCGTACTTCAAAAATTGATACATATGGGCATACTTCCTGTCCTTACTAATTGGATTGCCAACTTTCTCACAGACAGAAGACAGCGTACAAGAATCGGCCAGAATTATTCTTGTTGGAGGTCAATCAATGGTGGTGTCCCACAGGGAACCAAACTTGGCCCCTTGCTCTTTTTAATTATGGTGAACGACCTGAAGGTCTCTGACGATTCTGTTAAATTCGTAGACAACACTACTTTATGGGAAATAATTACGAGCGCCCAATCGTCTGCTTCAGTCTTACCGGCACAAATTAGTGAATGCTCCAGTTGGGTGGCCAAAAACAATATGAAATTGAATCCCACTAAAACCAAGGAAATTCGAGTATGTTTTTCGACTTATGATACTGGAGCACTTCCTCCACTTATCGTTGATGGCTGTAACATTTCTGTCGTGTCACATGCTAAACTACTCGGACTAATCATCTCCGAAGACCTCAAGTGGGTTCTTCATGTTGATTTCATTTGTAAGAAAGCTGCGAAGCGTCTGCATGCTCTACGATTATTAAAGAGATCTTCCATTCCATCAAGCAAGTTAGTGCGAGTGTTTAATACATGCATTAGACCAATTTTAGAATACTCGTGCGAAGTATGGCATCACAGTTTGCCCCAGTATTTAAGTGATCAGATCGAAAGGATCCAACGCAGAGCCCTACGAATAATCTTCCCAGATTGTTGTTATGATATTGCAATGGACCGCGCCGGTGTGGTGTCGTTATTCATACGGATAGAGACGATCTGTAAGATATTTTTTGAACGAATGCGCACTGACGAAGCACATAAGTTACATTCCCTTGTCCCTTCCAATCGGGATACAGAATATTCCCTTCGTGGTGTTAATAACAAACTATCAATACCTAGGTGTAGAACTAATAGATATGCAAATAGTTTCATAATTGCTGGAAGTAATGCTTTTAACATTAGTAAAACTTAATATAATTAACCATGTAATTATTACTATAATAATTCTTAATCTAATTGTATTTTGTATTTTATCCTTTTAATCTTGTAAACCGATGTAATTCAGTCCTTGACTGCTAAATTGGTCTTTTTAATAAATCTTATAAAAATATAATATTTTGGGCTCAAACTACTAACAAAATAAAGAGAAAAGTGAGACGAACCCACTGGTATACGGCCGAAATAGAGAAAACCAACAATACGAAAGTTATCAAGGATCAAATGTACTTCATTTTCAATTAGTTTAATAATTTTGAGCGATTTGTCAACAATACAATTTCGCTTGTCTTCCAAAGGCCATAAATCGCTAGAATACTGTTGTTTAGTAATACATTCGACATATGTAAGTATAATTTCTTACGCTGAATCGAACGGTTGTATGTTTGTCCTTATTGGGCGCATAAAACCAGAGATAAGCGCAGCAAAAAGTCAAGCGTGAGAGTCCGAGATTAATTCGAATGAAAACTTTGGGCCTCGAAAAAAGTAAGCAACAAAGGAAAAGCACGAAGAAAAGAGCACATGAAATTCAATACACCAAACAATCATGCAAACGTTATTTGCATAACCATTTTCACCTTGCCATGTTTCAGAGCAATATCACCAAAACGTCCAGCTATCAATCTTATTATAAAAGTTAGCAAACAGTCGATCCTGAGAGAACAAGATTAATTAATTTTCCCGCAAAAATGAATAAATTTCGAGCACGTGCAAGGAATTTTTACTAGGCGATTAAGGAAACGTATTAATGCAAACAAACTAACAAACGGACAAACAAACAAACAAACAAACAAACAAACAAACAAACAAACAAACAAACAAACAAACAAACAAACAAACAAACAAACAAACAAACAAACAAACAAACAAACAAACGGACAAACTCACAGGCAGAATATAATGCGGTGCCAAAAAATAATTTATCGAATTTTGAATGAAGGGGCAATTTAATAATAGTAATTTACAGTCATACAGTAGTAACTCCCCTGTGTTGTCTAGTAATTCCACACTATCAACATTCATAAATGCAATTGACACTTATAATTTCTAATAAAATAATGTTATTAAGGTGCACATGACATGAATTTTTTGGCCTTAATTTTATTGCGTTACTGAGAAAGTACCCTTCAACACGGGAAATAAAAGCGTTTACTATAGCTCTATAAGGAAATTTAACGGCTGAAGCTGTGAGGTGGGGAATTTCACCGCTTTTTTCCTTGTGTCATCCTTTTGCTAGAGCTTCTTGAAGCAGCATGATCTCTTCCCAAAATTAAGGCTGTGTCTTAAATGTCAAAAAGCGCTCAAATTAAGGCATTGCCTTAATTTAAACCCTATCCCCAACCCTAACCTCTAACCCTAATCAAATCATAATCTGACCCTAATCTATATATAACCATAATCTAAATCTGACCTTTTATAATGTTTTATTTAGACTGCGAGTAATCCCCGCATTCTTCCTAAATTCGGCTTCGTTTTATAGCCTTTCCCGCGCGTACAGTCTTAGTCGGGGAAACCATAAAACGAAGGAAAATAGAGGGATTGCTCGCAGTCTACCCCAAACTACCCATGCTTGCATAAAGTTTCCACAAATTTTGCGGAGTTTGCAGTTTAATGAACATTTTCGAAATGTGCAATTTTTTTATTCACCTTCATGTATAACAACTGGGGAGCAACGGTGTTTTGGTCATTGTCTTGGATCGCGTTCAGGTTATTGAATCCCTCGCGCAGCGCTGTGAGTTCAAAGCTAATCCCTAATAAAAGACCTTGTATAACAAATAATTACACATTGATATTATGTTAGAAATAGGAAACAAACATACAGGGTGTCCCCCAAAAAAGTACCCTCTATAGAAATTATCCTATTGTTGTAATTTGAATGCCTGAGCACTATGCTGAACACAAGAGTGCGTAAACACAATTGAATTGAATTTTTAATTACCAGTCGCATAAAATCCCGTGCTTAACAACAATAGGATAAATTTCTATAGAGGGTACTTTTTTTTGGACACCCTGTAGAGCACCTTTTCAAACCGTTGTTTCGTACACCAGTTTTGTTATAGACTCAATGTCACTTTCAGATATCAAATTGTTCCTGTCAGCAATCAATTCACAAGGTACCTCTTCTTTACCATGACGTTTACTCTTTTCTACCAATGAAAGTTCTTTGTCAACCCTTACATGTGAGCTTATAGTCAACATAAGTGCTGCTAATAAAGACATCCCAAACGCAGTGTAAAATACGTAACGAAAGTCATTAGTGTGATCAAAAATCCAACCTAAAATAAACAATATAATAAGTAAATTGTATATAAATTAATTGGAAAACACATTAAAACCCGACACGTTGGTAAAGCGTGATGTCCTGTTGTGTAAAACTGATTATTGTGGCTACAATATAGATTGCCTACATGGTTTTTTAGGCCGCGTTTACACTACAACGCTACGGCTAGCATTCAGTTAAAAATTCACCACGTTTCTTCAAGTATTGTGTTACATTATAACGGAGTGGTTTGCCATACACTCTGGATGCAAATTAATACAACTCAATATACGCTTCGGTAAATTTCCCGTAGCGTCAGTGTAAATGCGGTCTCAGTCATTAATTTATTTCACCCGAAGAAATCGTTCATCCATATCTTTACGACTTAATTTAACTTTTATCCAAAGGACAGTTGCTTAGCTAGTCAAGTTCATTTCCCTCACACATAAGACCATGGCATCATGCAGTCTACTGGAAGAAAAAGGCCAAAGTGTTCCTTTGATTTTCCTCCCACAGTTTACATGCATGCACAGGAAAATTAAAATACAAAAATCCTTTTTATATTATTACTAATTTAAATTTCTTCTTGCATATCATATATGTACTTATACAACATCGAATGCAAACACAGATTGGAGAATATGTATCAAAGGAAATGATAATAACACATGGTGTTCCTCAAGGATCTGTCTTGGGTCCTTTATTATTTTTATTATATGTAAATGACATACAAAATTGCTCAAATAAGTTAAATTTTTATCTTTTCGGTGATGATACTAATATGCTTTATTCTGATAAAAACTTGAAATAATTAGAGAAAACTGTAAATACCGAATTGAATGGTCTATATGATCGGTTAACAGCAAACAAATTAACTTTAAATATAAAGAAATCTAATTTTGTTATATTTCGGCCGAATCAGAAGAAAATGTTATATCAACCAAAAATATGTATATTCGATAATGAAACAAAGCAGAAGGCTAATCTAGAGTGTAAAAACTTTATTAAGTATCTTGGTATTTTAATTGACAATAACCTCTCTTGGAAACAGCACATTGATTAGATAACATTAAAAATTAGTAAAGCTGCAGGTCTTATAGCAAAATTAAAGCATTTTGTACCAACTGATATCCTTCTGAATATCTACAGATCTTTGATTCTTCCATATTTAACTTATGGTTTGGTAATCTGGGGGCAGGCGTGCAAATCATATTTGAAAAAGATCCTAGTTCTTCAAAAACAGGTTCTTCGCCTAATATTTTTCAAGAACAGAAGGGAGCATGCAATCCCACTTTTTGCAGTGGTGTAGTGGAGGGGGGCTCAGGGGGGCTGATCCCGCATTGTTAAAATTTCATGTTGACTTGGGGGGGGGGGGGCTGAGCCCCCCTTATATTTTTTGCACATTGCATATTAATCTTAACAACGTCAAAAACACACACAAAATATCAGTAAACGAGAACGTTCTTTAGAATCGCATCTCATTTTCAGTCATCATTTACACAATAACGATTTTTGTGATCTTTACTTAATCGCGGCGTTCATGCAATCATGCGCTGTAGCAAATTGGCTGTTGAAGTCCAATTGCCCTGTTTTGTCTGATTTAAACTTTATCCAGGGCCGTAGCAACCGGGGGAGCTGGGGGTTGCAGTCCCAATAATTTGCTGATAATCATTTTTTTTTTCAAAATCATGCAGACCTTTATCATTTAAATAATATACCTTTACATAATTTATCATTTAAATAATATACCGGCTACATTATCCATGACAAACTGCTGAAGAATGAAGATATTACCCATTCTTTCCTGCAACTTATCCAATATATTGTTAATTAAATACGCCTTCGCCCATTTAGTACTACTAAATTGTAAATTTCGACATACTAAAACGCTGTTTTCTGACCATCAGAATCAGTCTGTCAAATCTTCCCTCAAAGTCCAGGAAATGGCATTTCAGAGATTCTAAATTTAAAAATTTCCTCGGGCCTTCGGCCCTCGCTTTCAGCCCCCCTCCCAAATTAAAAATGAGCTTCATACGGCACTGCTATCCATACTAGCATTTTCACTTCAGTTTTGTTGATTTTTTATGCATAATACAGCTGCTATTAAAGAGCTTTCCCGAAGATATTTCAAAATATATGTTATACAGTTTATAAATATTAGGCTGTTAGCAATATGAAAAATTTAGACCAGGAATAAAAGTCACAGTCCCAGCCAGAAATTTTCATATTTTCTGAATCCACTGGGCGAAATTGCTTGGAGGAAGGGAAGTTCACCGCGTCCTATTTTTTCACCGGTAATTTTTTTTTCGCTAACCAACCATACCACTGAATGTACAGTAGTTTTCGCTTGAGGTACACCCGACCGGCTTTACATCTTCAAAAAGTAGTACAGAAACCTTGAATTCCTTACTTTTTGAGACGCTCAGAATATTTTATATTACTAACGGCAATTGTTTTTAATAAGAATAATGTCGAATGTTTGTCCCACAATTATTAGAATAAACCCCAACAAAATTTAGAATTTCCAAAATATCATATTGTACCCCCCCCCCCCTCCCGCCAATTCAGGACACTTTTGGAGAGCCCCCCTTGTTAACATTCCAGGACTACACCACTGACTTTTTGTTGATTCCGCCATAATGCCAATAAGTCTTTTATATTATCAGTAAGTGTCAAATTTAATGTACGATGTAAATAACGGAGTAGCTCCAATTAATATTCTAAATTTATTTGGAAAATTCCTATAGTATTCATACACACAGTACTCGATCTGTTGCATCTGATAATTTCTATCATGAAATATCAAGACTTCAAACACTCATTAATAATTCATAAGCTAATTGGCAAATCATGTCAACCATAATATGTCTCGTGCAGTGGCTTTAAACCTGATAAAACACTCCTAATTAGTATTCTTTATATAAAGAATACTAATAAGGCAGTATCTATTGTAGTCGTGCCCTCATTAGTATTGTTTATATAAAGAATACTAATAAAGCAGTATATCTATTGAATTTGTAGTCGTGTTTTATTACGTCTAAAGCCACTCGCGCTGCGCGCTCGTGGCTTTAAACCTAATAAAACACTCCTGCGAGTTTATTAAACAGTACTTCAAATACAAGAGAAAGGTTTTTCATGGACAGGGGTAAAACTGTGTAATGAGATATCAGTTTTTCTTAGGGAGATGACAAAACCTAGGTTTAAGAAATCAATAAAAAAATACTTATAAATATTTTTGAACAAGAAGATACATATCTTGATATACCAACAATAGTTTCAAAGATGAAAATTATAACAAGAGAGAATAACTGCATGTAAACTTTCTAAGTGCAAACTTACTACCTTCATTGCACGTTATTACTTACTTTTCCTTTCTTTTTTTAATATTCATGTCCGTTTGTAGTGTCATGTTCGTCTGTTTGTGACAAACTTTACATAATCGTAATTAAATTCGTATTGTAATTTTTGTAAAAGATATGCCCGTCATAGACTAGCTTAAGCTATTTGCGGGCCATTCTTATTTTTGTATTATTATTTAAAAGTTAATAAATTTGATGTTGACATTAAAAGTTAATAAATTTGATGTTGATGTTGATATGAAGACCGAAAACAAGAATGCCTTCATCGAAGTTGAACATTTAATGCTATATGTCAAGATGGCAGTATTCTTCAAAATTCAGTATTCTTCAAAATCGTTTCACTAAACAATATAGCGGAAACTGTACCTGATACTGGAACACCAAAAAGTACAGAAAGCGCACCAACAAGATTTAATAACGAAAATGCTTCATCAAAATAATATCCTCCTGTAATCTCCATTGCCAAGATAGAGTATGTGATCCACCACACGCCCTCAACTATTCCAATTAAAGCCATATACACGAGTAACAAAGGAAAAGCACGAAGAAAAGAACACATGAAATTCAATACACCAAACAATGCAAACGTTATTTGCATAACCATTTTCACCTTGCCATGTTTTAGAGCAAAATCACCAAAACGTCCAGCTATCAATCTTATTACAAAAGTTGTCAATCCTCTTATAATTAACAACCATTTTGCTTTTGATAAAGGATAACCTAATGTGACACCATAACGAACCTACAAGATAAATATCAAGAGAAAATAAAATGTCCTACTATATTAATTGTTCTAGATGAAGACCACTGCACGCAATCTCAAATCTGTGACCCTTCATAATTTACACGGATATAAGTTTGAACTTGCAAGTGTTGTATTTTACCATACTGTATAATTATTTAAAGTCAAGAGCGGGCAAGATTCAGTTAAGACATAAACTATACAGTATTCACTGAGAGTATTCCGTTTTTTCCAAGGTTGGAAAATTATTTTAAAATGTGTCAAAATTGTGGGTTTTTAGTTAGACGCTTCTAATTCTGTATGCCTCTATATGTCCAAAATCGTTGAAGACTAATTTTTATTCCGAATGGGGGTTCCAGATAAATTTGCCTCCTTCTCTGTCATATATTTCCCAGGAAATTCCTTTGGCGAGGTGGAATATTTCCTGTTACACAGGAAATCTGTTAAAATAAGATTAAACATGCTGCAATACTTCTAATCGTTATAACGTCTCCGTGTGGGACTCCCTGGGCTTATTGCCAAGAACTAATACCAAAACAATTTTCATACTTACCATAAAAATCATTGGAACTAAACAAGTAAATAAATACATTGCTATTGCAACCAAAGAGATTGTAAAAGATTTGTCTTGTAAGAACTCCTTGTAGAGATTAATAACAGATTTCCCGCTTCTTTCAGTTAATTCTGTATCTTGGTGCACGTGATGACGACCAACAAAACCATAGCATAAAATTATCGGGGCAAAAACCAACAAAGACACAAATGTCATCTTATATCCAAGTTCAACAAAAATAATTGGTAAAATATAAGATATCACCACTGCCCCTATGGAGTTGGCACTAAAGCGCACACCAACAGCAAAACCAAAATATTTACTAAAATATTCTCGCTGAGTTATAACTGATAATGTAATGACAAGGCTTAGCGAACACCCAAATGGAATCGAATAGGTTAAAAAGACAATGTTTATGTCGGTCATAAATGGTGTGATACATATCGAGAAAGCATACAAAAGGCTCGAGATGAACATACACCAGCGAAATCCAACACGTCTGTGAATATAAACCACTATAGGGGACAACGCTAGTGCTAGGAAGAAAACCAATGAGCCTATCCAACCTACCAAAATACAGGAAATGCGGTATATTATGTAATAATGTTAATGATGCCATCGCTGCTTAAATAACTAAAACTAATGATTATGCATGTATTTCGTATTATCCTGGTATAAGGCCTGTGCATGAGTAAAATTATATTTAAAGGCTCAGTCTCACCCGTTGAAAATTTACTGATTTTATTTGATTTTCTACAAGAATTTTTTCAAACTGGACCATGTGCGCATATGCGCTCAGCAGTAAATTTTAGCAATTAAATAACATCGCTCAACAGGTGACACTGAGCCTTTAATAATAATGTTAATGATGCATCGCTGCCTAAATAAACTTACAGCAATAAATGAGTTCAAACCAGACGCAGTTACAGTAGTTATACTTGATCTGCTTGCTGGAATGGATATTGTCGTGCAAGAGGTAACCTAACCTATTCAAACCCTAATAGCTCTTGACTAGTTTTCTCTTTAGCCTACGTCATAGACCCTAACTTGATTCCTTGCAAGGGTCTATGAAGCAGGTATCTGTTAGTTAACTAAGTACAACTACACACCATAACTACCATACAGATAGCACGAATAGTCCAGAAACAATAAAATATGCATTGCTACTAATTCATACCTCCTTTTGCATTGCTCACATTTAAGTGGTCAATGAAAACAGCGACAATAACTCCAATTGAGTCAGCAAGACCAATAATTGTAAAACTGACAATACTAGTTGCAGTTAAGTAAAACCATGAGTAAGGTCCATCTTTGCGTATATTACTCATCTAAAATGGAGATAATACATTGATAGTACGGGCACGGCACTTCTAGTTCCAGCAACAGCTTCTAGTTGTTGTCTGAAACAGACTGTTGTGCATGGCAACCTTTATATATTTCATATCACAACATAATATATTTCATCCTGTTTCATCCAAGAGTAATCATCAGATGGCTGACAAATTTCGAAAAGTGGGCTGCTTAAATGTCTACGGTTATAAACGTGGGCGTGTGGGCGTCAAACAATACATGCATTCCTTCCATTGTTATCATTGTTTACTAGAACAATGATAACAATGAAATACAATTATTGGCAACGACCAGAAAGAAAACCATGCAAAAAACCCACTTTTATTAAAGATTAAATTTTCGACTGCATGCGATGTGTTTCGTACAGGGTGTCCACCCTTAGGTGAAGGACTTTTTAAGGACTATTTTTAAGACTATTTTTAAGAGAATAGTCATGGAGTTGACGTAAGGTAGAAGAGCGCTCAATACCATAATAAGTAGAGCGGAATTAATTCAGTCAAGGTTTGAATGTTTGCGTCGCTTATTGACTGAATTATATATATATATATATATATATATATATATATATATATATATATATATATATATATATATATATATATATATATATATATATATATATATATATATATTTATATATATATATATATATATATATATATATTTATAATACAATCATTCACCGTATATGAGCTGTTTTGCAATCTGATTGGTTGAATTACTCGCCGTATATCAGCTCATATACGGCGAGTAGCGAAAAACAAGATGGCGGTCGAAAAACTACAGTGGTTTTGCGAAGCAGGAAAAAGGAAAATACTCGCTTTGAGAAAGATAATAGTACAAGGAAAAACTCTCAAAATACATTTATTACATAGAAATTAGTTTAAATACAAGTTTTTTAAAGAATTAATACCAAAACAACAGCGAAAAAAACATGTTCATTGAGAAAATAAATTGTTCAGAAAAGTTTGCAACGAAAGACAAATGAATTTGCAGTCAACAAGCACTTATATACTATACTACCAAACATCTGTATAATATATCTGAGCTTTTCTGTGAGATATACCGGTTCTAAACCCATTTCTTTCACTTCGTCTTCGAGTTGTAAAACAAAA